ATTTTTTTAAAATCCTTAGTCCGTAGGGCTCTTACCTAACATATAGTCAGGATTTAGACATTTACTAAGCAAATGACCTCAACATTTCTTGAAATTAAAACAATGTGTCTTAACACTCTCAAGTTCAATCCCTAAATATTTGAAGTCATTTGCAGTTAAAATGAATTTTAGAAAATTTTAGAAGTTTTAGGATTTATTTTTTTAATTATATATAAAGGGTAGATGATTTTATCTTTATTTAAAATTCTTTTCTCTAATCTAGCAGGCATGTGGTGCATTTTAAAATTTATTTCAAGATTTTAGGATTTGATTTAATTTTTTTATGAATGATTCAGTTCTAGGTTCATTTCAAGGATGTGTGATTTAAAGATTTGATTATGACTAAAGTGTTGCCAAAATTCATATGAGAAATTTTAGAGTGCTCTAGGACAACTTATAAAACTCTCAATATGAATTTGAGGCAATCAGAGGTGATTAAACCATTTAATTAAGTGACCCGATACCTAAATTAAAATATTCTTAAAACAGAATAATTAAGTTTTAATCATTAGTTTCTTCTCATTCCACTTTTTTCATAGAGGGCTGATCATCAAATTTGTATTAAAAATAAATTAGTTACGGATTTTTAAAATTTAAACATTTTTGGAATTAATAAAATCCTAAATCCTTTTAAATTATTTCTATGTTGACGCAATAGGCACTTTACATGTGGTGGATTATGGGTGGATGAATTTCAAGAAATGGGTCTAACACTCTGCATGATCACTCTAGGTTGTTTGATCTCAAGATGAGACGTTGCGGATCAATCTTTATAATAACAGTAGATAGTTGCAAGATTTCCTATATGATAAGATTAGCGTCATCTATTTTATTCAAATATCATGTGTAGGAGAAAAAGGACTGAAATGGTCCTCAATTATATTAAAGGACCATTTTGTTCCCTTAAGTCTATAAAAATGAATCAAAATGGTCCCATGATGGAATTATTTTCGTTCCTTTTCAAGGTGTTGAGGGACCAAAATGGTCTTTTAATATAGTTGAAGGTTATTTTGATTTTTCATAAAGAGTGAAGGGATCATTTTGATCCTTTTCTCTCATGGGTAGTGATCCCATCATCTGCTACATCTAGTTGAAGATAGAAGGCGTTGATCAAAATACTTTCAATTGGGAGTGGTTAATGGCTATTCTTTTAATCTATGGGATCGAGAAAGAACATGATGGTAGAAGCTTATCATCCAATGATCAGATTTGCATGGTGTTAAGCCAGTTTCACTATATGTGAAATAAAAAATCAAGGTTATTGAGATTTAGGCATACCTTGATTCACACAGTTTTGGATTGAACTACTAGTTCAGGAGCTTCATCTAGCGACAACCAATGGGTTTGTTGAAGAAAGTTTCAACTGAGTGTGGTGGATAAGTGGTTTAACTCTCAACAAACACAGGTTGTTAGAGCTTGGTCTTCCTACGCTCGCAGAGGGAGCTAAGGGAGGGGGAAGCTAGGGAACTCTCAAGCTACTCATAGGGATGTATTCGGATGGGATTCTGACCATTGCTGGTGATGCTAGCTGGCCAAATAGTTGAAGATCATCCATTGGGAGAAGGACAAGTGTCCCGGAACATTCTTAGGGATTGAGGTGGCTTGGGAAAGCGGTTAGAGGGAGTGGAGCCCTGTGATGTTGGTTGCCTTTAGTGGGTCAACTGCCTGAGGTATAGTTGGTCAATTGACTAGGCAACCTTAATGAGGACTGAGGAGTCCTGGGAAGGCCATGGGTCAACTATTATTGGGATTTGAAGCATTGAATTGGATTTGTATAGGATCGTTTCAATAGGTTTTACACCCACTTGTGCTAACCTAAGTCGGTTAGGTCACCTAGGGGAGCTAGGTTACATAGCTATGATTTAACAAAGCTTGGAAAGGTTTGGAGTTGAATTGATTCAATTTGGTTCAGGTGAACCTAAGGTGGGTCACTTGGGAAATTTAGTTAAACTAGGGATGATTATGGTCAAGGGGACTTGACCATGTGTCAAGCATGAGTCAAAGTATTCCTAGGATGTGTTATGATCACTTAGACTCAATGCTAAGGCCATTGGGTTTGAATTGGTTGCTTAGGTTTAAATATAGGCATTTTAAGGTTAAGAGGTGACTTTGGTCAAAGTCACTTTGACCATGAGTCAAATGGGTTGACCAAGACCCCTTGACCTATGGGGTGGGTCCAAGAGCAATTAAAGTGTTTCTAGGGTAGATCCTAGGGTCATGGGCCACGTAGGGTAGGTTCTATGGTAGGTGCCATAGGGCTTATTAGGATAGATTGGTTATTGTAGGAATTATAGGGTTTTGGTAGGGTCCGCTACTTATCTAGGGGATCCAATTAAACCCAAGGGCCTACCTAGGGTTTCTTTTGGGTTTTGAGTCTTGAATTTGACTTCAAACTATTACAAATGGGTTTGGATAATGTTGGGCAAGCTTCTAATGAACTTAGGAAGGGTCCTGGGCACCACCTAAGTGATACTAGGATTGATCTAGTTCATGGGTCTGAAGGGTCTAGCATGGGGTATGAAGTACCCTACAAATTTGGGTTTTCTAGAGCTCACTAATGCTAAGTCATTAGGAATCCATCTAAGAGGGTCCTATTAGAAAGGCTCTATATTAAGGAAAGGTTTTTATGAGCTAAGGCTAAGTACTTGATGGTTTTATTAACCTCATTAAAAAATGAGGTCAACAAAACAAAGAAAGACTAGGCACATTAGGATTGACCTAGTCCATGGGTCTCAAGAGTCCAACATGAAGTACTCTTAAGGATTTGGGTTTTCTAGAGCTCAATAATCTAAGTCATTAGGAATTCATCTAAGAGGGTCCTATTGGGAAGTCTCTATATTAAAGAAAGGATCCTATGAGCTAAAGCTAAATACTTGAAGTTTTGTTAACCTTATTAAAAAATGAGGTCAACAATCTCAAGTAAGACAAGCATCATCTATGAAAGAAATAAATTATCTAGCTCCAGATATATTTTTAACTAGAGATAGCCCCCATACATCAAATTTTGACTAAAGCAAAAGGTTAGATTTTCAAGTTTGATTGGGATCATAACTATGAGTCTGTTTAGCCAGATAACAAATTTCGCATAGAAACTTATTTAAATTTTAGTTTGTGAATATAAAAGGATTTAGTTTTTCAAGATAAGTTTGGGTGTCCATGGTGATGATGTCAAAGTAATATATCACTATCGTTATGCAAAGTGTTTAGAATTGAAGTTGAGGTTTTGCGGATATACAACTCATTGTAGCTCATGACTTGAGGAATTGTTCTTTTGAAGGTAGAGTCATGAACACATTTCTGCATTCCAAATCATCCTAAAAGTTTTGAGAGCTACAAAGATTAGATGATAAATAAACATTGCAATTTTTATGTCAAATGAGTTTGTTGATTGACAATAAATTACAATTTGGGTGAGATAGTAGAAGCATATAGTCAAGTATCAAATTTTTTTGTAAGAGAATGATAGAATCCATTGCAATTACTTTTGTAGTGATCCATCTGTAATCCGAGGATTATAATTTTCATGGCATGGGCTGTAATTATAGGTGTTTTTACTCCTATCATATGACCTGAAGCTCCCACAATTTTAGTAGTTTTCTTCTTGTTTTCAATGAAGGCATATGATAGTTTTTTTAACAAGCAAGTTTATTCCGATAATGTTCGGAAATAAGGGAGAATGATTTTTCTATGTTGCTGGTTCTCTTTAGAATTTTTCAATCCAACTTTTCAATATGGATGTTCCATATTTTGAATGAGTTTTTCATTTTGAAGTTGATTTCCAACATCAGAGTTGCTGGCTTCTTAATCACTGGCTTCTTTATGGTAATTACCACCATCTTCTTCATAATAATTGCCACCATCTTCTTTCAAAAGGATCTTTCACATATGTTTTTGCTACTTTTGTCGAACAAAGATTAGCTTTCAAAGATGGTGAATGACTCTTTGTATAGAAGAGAGACTTCATATTGAAGGATCTTCGCCTTCACAATTTGTAAAATTTTAATGCTTTTGATACCATTTTGAAAATTAGATTGCGAAGAGAGGAGAGTGAAACATGAGAGATCATATGATTGACCTTTATTCACTCCTTGTGTCTAAAAATAAGATTGGAAGCTCTACAGAAATAAGTAGAGAAATAATTATCAAGAAAATAAACAAATATAAAAATCAATCTTTAATTTTATAATATAAAATTAACTACGCAATAAAAAAGAAATGTTATTGTCTACGGCTTGCTGTAGATGGAAAGCTACTATCCATAAATTATTGGATTGCTGTAGATGGAAAGTTGTTGTCCATGATATTTTGGAAACCAAAAACTTATCACACATATAGAGCTAACCATCAAATTAGAAACTTTTACAATTGGATTCGACATCATCTCATAATATATTGAAAGTACATCACTTATACATGAACATTTAGAAAACCCAAATTATTATGTACCTTTCTTTTATAAGGAGATCAAATTAATTTATCACACTTGTATATCACCATGATTAAGGATATAATAGGACAACATTGAAATAAGAAAATATTAATAGTTATTTAATCTCTGTTGTATATCACCATGATTAAGGATATTCTCTACCTTAATGTTCATAGCTCTGGTTAGATGAAAGATGTATTTTTCAGTAACATTATTGGTATCTTTATTTAGATTTATCTTTCCAATTTCTGAGGTTCTGGCCTTAAGCATGAAGAGTTTGATTTTATCTCATTTATGCTTTTATAACTAGTAAGATTATTGTTTTAAATGTGTTAGCACATCATACCTCCATGCTGTGCAAAGTCATGCATGTATTTGAAGTTATTGTAAAAGATTGGTATCTCTTGACATTTTAGATAGTTTCTGCAGTTTTGAACTTATCTACAAGTTTTTCCTTGTAAAACTAACGCTTCAATTTTTTCTAACCTTTGCAATGAACAAGAGTAACTGTTTCTCTTTTCATCATCTTCAGAGGTTCATCTTTGATGGGAGATTGATATTTGGACCTGATGCATGGTCGCTAATCATTACCATCTCACTAGTAGTTATACCTGTTGTGATATTTTGTGTCTTTGTTGCAAGACATCTTCTCCACAAGTTTCCTACTTATAATGCCGGATATGCTATCTTGGTCGTTGCAATAGCTTTTACCATCTATGTAAGTGTTTTAAACTTTTAACAGTCATAAAGCTACTTAGATGTTTCTTTTGTTATGAGTTATCTTTCTACTTTTTGGATGCTACCGTAAATTGTTTTGTTACATAAATCATTTTGTTTAACATCTAATATCAAGATCCCGCTTTAGTAAATATGTTAAAAAAGCATGCCTGCTTCTTTGCTTTGATTTTATCTAAATTCGTTTGCATGCACTAATGTTGCTTGTTACTGCATAGAGCAACCCACCTCTAAATTTATTATTTTATTAGGATTATTCTAATAATTTCATTAAATTCGTTTACAATCGGTTTGCAAATTGTTATCAATTTTTCATAGTTTGTTACTTATTTGCTAGTTTCGAAACAATTTTTTTTTTTATTATTTGTTATTTCTTCTATCTATAAATATGACAATTTTGAGTCATGTTAAATAATTTTATGGAAAAAATAAAATTCTATTTTGAAACTGAATATTCTTCTTCATTTATTCTTTCATTTAAAATTTTAATATCTCATAATTAATTAGTTTCTATCACTTCACTCGTCTCATAAAATAATCAATTCATTTTTCTACTCTCTCCTTTCTAAAAGAATTCAATATCAATTAAAAAAATAACTTAAAATTTTCTTAAATAAATAATAAATAGATTTCTTATAATATCTAACCTTCCCCTTCTTCAATCGTCTGACACCATTCGTACTCTCTTGCTCTAGCTGGCGCACTCCTTCCTCTTGACTGGTCGTCACCCTTGTTGACTCACTCACATTGGATAGCAACGAACAAAAATTGCCTCCCTCAGTCAAGCGCTCACCTAGCTTCGATCTGCATCTCTTTCTCGCTTAATCACGCGCTAATTTAAAGGAATGAAGCCACTTTTGTCTCCTGCAACACTAAGCGACGGAGCAATCCCTTTTTTGTCTTGCTCGACATAAGTGATGGAATTGATACAACTCTCTTGCGACGAAATTTGTTCGTCTCCCTTCACAATACACACCATTTGTCTTTGGTTATGGAGTGGAACCAATGGAATGGGATATTGTAAACTCAAGGTAAATTGATTTTAATTACCAGATTTGTAAACTTACATGAAGCCCACTTTAGCCTAGTGGTTGGGAGCTTTGACTTTCACAACGAGGTTTTGGGTTTGAGACCTTATGTGTAAGGGTTTGTGCGTGAGTTTGCGATTCAATTCACTCAAAATGTCAAAGAAAAAGAACGGGTAAACGTATGATTATAGGCACTCACACCATATTTACCTTGCTTAAAATGTTCAAGGTTTTCAAATATTTAATCCCTATACTTGTCAAATGACAGATTACTCGTGTAAGTTTATGCTTTAAGTTAGGTCATGTAGGTGTAGTTTCACATGCAATACTTTGCCAAAATAATTGGGCCCATTTTTCTAGTTTTGATTTAACATGTTCAATTTTCTTCAAAATCAAATAATAAATAATATTAAAAAAAGTCTTTCAAATTATCAATCTTTGAAAATTCCTCAAGATTTTACGCACATAGAATGTAGGAATATAATTTAAATCATCATTATAGTTATTGTGTTCATTTTGCACTATGACTTACCCAATTTTGTTTAAGTTGCATATTTTTATTAACTTGTCTATTTTGCCCTTCTTTAATTGTCATGATTAAGATCTAAGATTTGATACTAATTTTACATCGGATGATTAAGATCTAATGTTTGTTATTGCACCTAGGACGACATGCATACTGAGAATTCATAAAAATCACAATTAATGGATTAACATTTCTTCAGTTCAGGAAAAATTAGTCTCTTTTGATGTAAAAACAACAACTACACTTCAATACAAAATAATAATTAAATAATTTTCAAAATTTGAAATTCTAAAAAAATTATGAAAAAACTATAAAATTCCAGCAATGATAAAGATTCGTTCTACAAAAAGAAACCTAATGCATTACATTTGACAAAATATCAATCTTGCACACACGCCTACCATTAAATAAATTAATATTAATAGCAAATGCAAGAATATAAATTATGCAAAAGTAAAATCCAGGCCTCACAAGGAGACTTGCCCTCGAAATTAGTTGTCAATATTTACGACACACTTAAAGAATATGCATCAAACCAACACATAAATTTTGGACAATTAAATTTTATTTCAATACTTAATATTCAATGAAGCAATGGCTTTCTTAGCCTTCCATAAATCTTTCCTACAACTGCTTCAAACGAATAGAGTTTAGTATTTATATTTTTTTAGTTATATAATTCTGGTTGTAGTTATTGATCTGAGGTAATAATGAGGCAAAAGGAGAACCCTCAATTTGAAAACAAACATGGTTCAAATGCTGTATTCAATGTTTGTTCATTGTTTAAACAAATAACAAATATTTATTTCAAACCTAAGTTTCGACCATTAGATATGAAACTACATTTGGAGTATAGAAGAAGGTTTGAACCCAAACATATTTAAATGACATTTAGACCTCATTCAAATCTGGATTGAACTAATTCTTTTGTGCTTTCATCTTTTAACCTATAATTCTCCTTTTATCTCCTTCATATTATAGCTAGGACTGTTGACGTTAAAAGGGGTGGTGACTACATTCATGCTTACATAACAACAAATTTGAACACTAAGTATTCGGTTGTTTAATAGGGTTTGCGGTCATCAGATTAGATTTCAACCAATGCTTTATCATTGTTGTAATATTGTTTGATATATTTGTATTTGGCGTAAAAGGCTGACTTTTGAGTTTGTAATGATCTGCCAAGTAATTTTTTTTAATAATGTAGTTACATTTTAATATAATATTTTTGATTGTTTTTTATAATATATTTAAGTGTTGTTAATTCATGAAGTATGCGCTATAATAATGATTAGTTCTATTTTATATTATAATTGTGATGGTAAACGTTTCTGTGAAACTCCAAAAGAATCGAGCTCTTTGAAACTCATCTATTACATAAGGCTTTTTATCTAATCTTGTTCAAACAAGGTTTGATTAAGATTCAAATAATGTTTGAACCCTGTTTAAATAAATTCGAACAAAGTTCAAACCCTATCCAAACAAACTATAACTTTGATGCAATAGATGGTAATCACAACAACTATAACATAATACACGGTAACTTTTATACAACAAAGTGCAATATAACAACTATAATGTAGCAGAATTGAATATCCCCTTTTGTATTTCAAATGAGTGTTCTATCTCATTAAGTTTTCTTTACCCAAAAATAATACTTAGTATACTCATCTATATCACTATAAAGTGCCCAATATTGATATTGTTTAAACTTTTTTCGGCCTCACATCTTGAAAGTTATAGAATCCTTAATTTGTATATTCTTCTTCATTAAATCTAGAGTTTTTTCATCCCTTTCCAAGAAGATCAAAAGCATCAAACTATCTGACAATTTTATCCATAAGACATCAAGTGGGTTTCACTTCTCCTAATATATAAGTGGTAAGAATGACTTTTATGTTCATAATTTCTTATACATACATATATCCATACGAAGAAAAATACAAGAAGCTAAATATACCGATTTGCCGTAATCAATGGTTTTCCATGTCAATTTATGTGACCGTGGCAACAAAAGCTTTCCAAAATAATTCTCAAGGCTATAGCAGATTGGCAATGGTGAAGATATTCAGGATTGCAACAATTAGCAAATATAGGACATGAAGTTCCAAGATTATAACACACAATGGTAGAAATCTTTGCATCAACTCTTGGGACTGTGGCATAATAGGGACAATCAAGTCATCCATGATCAAAAGCCTCAACATCACTTTAGGAAGAATAATGGAGGGATACTGCCTGAATTTACATAGAAAAAAATTTATGAAGGAAATTGTATACGAAGAAGCTATGTAATCTTTAGAATAGGAAAACTTGAAAGATATACCCTCGATGATTTATGATGTTGATTGAAAGCTATAGTGTAGTAGTTAATCAAAGTTAATGAGGACATCAAAATATTTGAGAATTCAATTTGTTCTCAATAGGATTGATATCTTAGGCATGTTTTGCTCACGAAATGAACTAGGAGACATAATAAAACATCATCGAACACATGAATTGCATTCCCAACGAATTCGAACTTTCAAATTTTATTAACTAGCATTAGAAATAATGAAGAAATGTAGCACTAGCTGCGGAGTGGCAAAAATAATTTGTATAATGATAGATTATATCAAGTATCATTATTTTGCTGGATTTTTACATACATAACACTTCAAACTATTATAAATACATATTCAACATCTAAACTTCTATATTTACTAATATACCACCTAAATTCACTTTTTCATATGTTCTAACACTCCGTGACAACCCCCATCAAAAATACTATCAGCGACTGTCTCCCCGTTCCACTGTGAGCTCGAGCAGCAACCTAGAGTTGGAGAATCTCAGTATCGTTAAAACGCCAACCATCCACCAACTTCCCCTAGCTCCAAGTCATGGCCTTTGTTACAAGGGAACAACAACGTCCGTCACCGGCTGCAGACGATGACGCTGAAGCCAAGAAGCTCATATACTTCAATTCCAATCCCTCTGACGCAGCCGTGGCTCCGGTCCTTGGCCCCATCGGCTGGCTCTAGCTTGTCGCCGTCATCTCGTCTTCATTCCTAATCTTAAGAGTAAGCTGCTCTTTTTCCTAAACTGCAGAAGTAGGCCAGGGAAGAAATCTGAGCAGAATTTCTATAAAAAAAATTCACACAAAATAACTAAAATTTATGAAGAATGATAAATTATCATTCATATAACTGAATTCCTAATGCCAACACAAATTCTTTGCTGGAAATTCCTTTTAGAAATTTTACAGCCGACTTTACAAAAAATATTATTATGATCAGTGAAAAAGCGAAATAGATTTAAGAGATTCACTGTTTTATGAAGTCATCTCCCTCTGCTTGCTTGGAGAAGACATCAGATCCACTCACCCGCTTTATACAATACAAAATGCCAAGAAGAAAAACCAGAGGGAGGAGAAGAGATAGCATCGCAAGCTGGAGAAGAGAAAGGGATCAGACAAAGTGTGAGAGGACAATTCCAATAAAATAACCTGTTAAATTGTTCTACAACCATATCTATCTCACACTCTGTTATTTCGTCGCCACTGAAAAGATTTCGCGCATGACCGCGTGCCATGGAGAAGGCGGGTTTGGACGGGGAAGAAGACACTTGTTCGCGCGAACGAACGTAAGACAATGGAGGCGGATAGAGATTTCTGAATTTAAACGAAATGTTAGAATTGATTAAAAGAAGAATTTTAGATGGTATATTAGTAAATATAATAGTTTGAGTGTTGAATATGTATTTATAATAGTTTAAAGTGTTATGTATGTAAAAATCCCTATTTTGTTTGTATCCTTTTGTATTTTTTGTTCATGCATTTACCAAATTATCATTTTCTAGTTATGAAACAATGCAGAAGATGTTCAATAATAGGTATCTTGTTATACGTTATTTGCACATAACATAATTTGATAGTTTTTTCTTTGAAGTGACTGTCTGGAATAATGCAGTGACCTTTAATAAATAAAGGGCTTAAGAATGGTAGGAAAAAAGGATCAAATATATGATATAGTAGATGTAAAAAATCAATATTATTATAATTCACATAACTTTTAGAGTTAAAATTGGTTGTTTGAAATTTTTTAGGATTATAGTACTATGAGTGAATATCATGGAGATTTAAGTTTAGAATTTAGAAATTGCAATTAGATGGACTATTTTATAGGGATATGAATATTGGGAGATAAAGAAATCATCATAATGAAATTAAATGTGAACAAATCTATGATAAAATTAAAATGTTTAGGATAAGAAATGATTATATTATAGAGAGTGTAAGAACTGCCTACTGAAGATAAGATCTTTAAAAAAAAAGTAAAATGCTTAGATGTTGAAGCATGTGTAACTAGATTGAAAAAAAGCTTTGATAAGGCTAATAAATAAGATTTATGTGAAAAGATTTGGTGAAAAGTTGCTAGATCAAAATGTAATATGGCAAGACATTACACACATTTTTTTTGAATTAAATAGTCATGGCATTTGATTCAACAATATTGTAAATGAACACCTTTGAGACTAAAGGATAAAATAGCTTAATTATCTCATGGCATTGAGTCTTAAACTGTTGATGGTACTTAGTTTCTTACAGGGTCACATACAAGGGTTAGGCTGGGTCATATGTGTGGGTATTTGGGGAGTGTAGCCCTTCCCTTCTTCCGGCATCACTCACAGGTTGGGTTGTGTCATGTTCATGCATGTGAGGAGTGAAGTTAGGATTATTTCAATAAGTGCAATTACTTTTCTGACTGGTAATATTCCTAGTTTTTAAATCAGTTGTTAATATATGTAAAGCTTGTAATTTGTTTTTGTTTAACAGCATGCTATCAATTTTTTATGAGGGAGCAATCCCAATAGCTATATGATATTGGGAGTATTTGGATGAGAATGCAAGTGCTTATCTACCAATATTTGCACCTTTCAAATTAGATGTCCATTAATTTATAAGGCTTTGCCAATTTTTTTGGTAACATGAGGGAGGGTGAGATCTGGCCCCCCAATAGCTATACAATTTGGATTATGTGGATGGGAGTGTGATTGCTTATCTAATTTTAGTCCTACTCTTTAAAGTAGTTGTTAATGCATATACAAAACTTTATATGTTTCTTGGCAGCTCTTTTTTTGAGGGATAGTAATATAAAGCATCCCAATAGTTGTAAGATTTTGATAATTTGGATGAGAATTCGATTTCTTATCAAATGGCATTCCTAGAACACATCTGCAAGGCTTTCTATGTTTTCTGTCGTTAACAGCTTGCAATCAAATTTTTTTAGGTACTCGTGCTGCAAATGCTTACTTCAGCTCGAGATCCTGGCATTATTCCACGTGCATCCCATCCTCCAGAGGAAGAATTCTCCTATGATGCTTCAAATAGGATTGATTCCAGTGGAAGGCATACACCAAGCCTACAGTTTCCTCGTACAAAAGAGGTGATGGTTAATGGCATGCCTGTGAAGGTCAAATACTGTGATACCTGCATGCTCTATCGTCCACCACGTTGTTCACATTGTTCAATCTGCAATAATTGTGTGGAGCGATTCGATCATCACTGCCCTTGGGTTGGGCAGTGCATTGGTTTGGTAATTTTTCTTTGCTTACTTTAGCCCTTATAAGAACCAGAATATGATAGACTATATTCATCTAAGCTTTTGTCATTTTGTTGGCTGTTGTATGCATACTTGGCATATTCACCCATCTGGTCTGTGTTTTTCCTTGTTGCCAGCTTTCTTCTATATTGTAGATTGTTTATATTTTAAGGTTTGCTTGTGCTGGGAAAAAAAAAAAAACACTCAGGCATTATAGGTACAGATTTCTATTGATTGATATTGTCTGATGTGACTTCAGCATGCAGATTGCTGAAGAGTTCTATTGTAACCTGGAACGCTATCATCATCTTCATGTGATTAGGAGAGAGAGAGAGAGAGAGAGAGAGCACAATAACATGATAGGAATGGATTGCACTATCTTTACATTTTTTTTTTGGGTCTTGTGAATTTGACATCTTCTGTTTACTATTTCTCACCCCATGCTTTATTTTTTTATCTCGAAATATTTCATAGTATTGTTTCTGCTGTGTTATACATTTGCAAATTCTCAAATTTTCAATATGCTCATCAAGTTTTTCATCACCATTAAATATGCTTACCCTTTTTTTTGCAGAGAAACTACCGCTATTTTTTCCTTTTTGTGTCCTCATCAGCTCTTCTATGCATCTATGTATTTGCCATGTGTGCATTGTACATTAAGTTTCTCATGGATGGAGACTACCCAACAGTATGGAAGGCAATGAAACACTCGCCGGCGTCAGTGGTTCTTATGATATACTGCTTTGTTTCTTTGTGGTTTGTCGGTGGTCTTACTGGATTTCATTTGTACCTCATTAGTACCAACCAGGTAAGTCTTACTTTCTCTATCTAGCCCTGTTAGTATATATAAGCCTCAGTCTATATCAGTTTTGTGCATTTTTTATAGGAAGTTGATACAATTTTCTCAAAATTAATGAACGATATTAAGAAATTAAGAACTCATAAAAAAATTTTGTAATTGCAAGATATATGAATGAAAATAGCAAGGTACAATTGGATCTTCAATTGGAGAGGAAGATCCGGCTCTCCCAAATCCCTAGCCGGCGGCTAGAGCCCTCATAAACTAAGAAATTCTAATTTTAGCAAACTAAAAACATAATCTAAAATCACCCTATTGTTAGCCTAAATAGGCTCCCCTAACTCTCTCAAATCAATCCACTTTTTCTAAATAATTCCCTCTCATATTTGAATTCAAATTAGATTTCTTGCATTAAATAATTTCCTCCTAATTGTAATTAAAATTTTCTTAAATAATTCCCCCTTGATTCCTCCTCCCTTCTCCTAAATAATTTCCTCTTAGATTTTTAATTCAAATTAGATCTTTTGCCCTAAATAATTCACACTCAATTACAATTAAAAATTTTCCTAAACAATTTCCCTTTGGTTAAGAACATTTCTAAGTAGTTCTCTCTTGATTTGAAAACTTCTGAATTCCCTTCCAATTAAATCGGCCAGTCTATCATACTCCCCCTCCTAAAGTGTCACATTGTCCTCAAGGTGGAACGAAGGAAACTGTTGTTGAAGTACTAGACTAATAGCACTAGACTGAAAAAAGGACTGTCACTAAGTCGAATGATCCCTGCCTCCAGTATCTCCCTGATCAACTCTCCATCTCATCTTTTTGGAGTTGGGGAGAATGGTACAGATGAACACTGATATGTGAGACTCTGTCTTTCCAAATGATAGCATGCATGTGTTCCCGTGGAGGAAGCAACCCCTCAAGTGGTTGGAACACCTCTTGATATTCATGTTTGAGTGGATGAATTATGTCTAGTGCTTCTATTTTCTTCCCATCTTCTTTTACTTTCAAACTTTTCAGCTCTACCAAAAATCTTACTCCTTCACCCTTTCCTCTCCTTGGAAGTGGTTCCAAAGATGACATCTCTTATTCTTCCCCCAAAATTTCCACTTCTTGAGTCTCCCTCATTATCCCTATATAGGGTTGTTGACTATTGGGTATGAAGCAAAAACCCAGCTCAAATTTCAACCCAAATTCCAGGAAACCTGCAGGAAATCCCGCTTACCTCGTACAAAATGGAGCCGTTTGCATCTCATCTCCGCGACTCCTGCGCAAATCCTGCGACTTACCTCGATCGGACCTCGCGATCGTCGTTAAATACCAGAGCAAATGGAGCCTTCGGCTGCTCTTTCCACGCGAAACCTTCCCACTCCAGTAACCTCTTCTCCGATCGGAACTCTTGTCCGAAGCTTTAGCCGCCTCCTTCACTACAACCGGACAAGGTTTAAAATTGCGCAATGAGAGGCGTGCCTTAGCGCAATTTAGGCCCTTTAAACCTCAAAGCCCACGCAACGAGTTCAGGATATGAGGCGTACGCCTCAAGTTTACTGAGGCGCACCTCGCCTCACGGTTGAGAGGCATTCGCCTCTAAATTATTTTTTTAAAAAAAAGCTAATGTACATGCTCAGTACCATGCAGTACATGCTCGGTATCGTTAGGTACATGCTCGGTACCTCTTAGTACATGCTCGATATCGCTAGGTACATACTCGGTACCGGTAGGTATATGCTCAGTACCGCTCAGTACATGCTCGGTATCTTTCCATACAAACAACTTACGAACTTTAAAAACAAGCATAACTTCAAAATCAGGTCGAATCTCGCCAGGGGGCAGCGCCCACTGGACCCCCAGCATACCGGTATATTGTTGTATTCATGTTGTCTTATTATTGGGATATTTTGATTTCACTTCATATAAATTTGGTATATACTAATATACCAAATTTACCATTTTATGTTTATGTAATTTTTTGATTTTGAAGCTTACGCCTCAAAACTCCTGGAGGCTTATTACGTCTTGCCTCACGAACGAAAAATGCCTCAATACTCGATTACGCAATTTTAAACATTGCAACCGGACCTTTCTTCCCATTCCTCTAATCCTTCGAACCCCTGCAATCATTCGACCCATCCCCCACTCGATCCAACTGTAGGAAGCCGCAAACCCAGGCCAAATTTCGTCGCCCCCTCTGTTCTAGCCATACACGATCCATTCGATCGAGAGAGAGAGAGAGAGAGAGAGAGAGAAAGAGAGAGAGAGAGAGAGAGAGAGTTCCTACATATTCGCCTCTTACCTTGCCAAGCCGAAGACCTACTCTAGCCCTGATGCCAATCAACCTCTTCCTCTACCTGCAGCCGAATCCCTCAGGCCGAACCCGTCCAAGCTCCTTTCCCTTCTCGTTGTTTGAATCTAGTCGCAAGCCTCCTCCTCCCTCTATTCGACCCCACTAAGCCTCAAAATCGCAGCTCAAACCATTGTTGCCCTCTTCGATTCCAGCCTCCATCCGACCCCTTAGTTATTAGGTATACATGTGATTTTATTTTGCTTTATTTTTATTATTACTTATAATTATTATTTAATTATTATTATTAATATCATTAGTATTAGCATTAATATCTTTATTACTTTTCCTAAATATATATTTTGTGTGTTTGTAAAAAAAAAAAAGAAAGGAGAGGTTTTAAAAAAAAAGTGATTTTGTCCACTTCGCCGTCACCCCGCCACACTTGCAAAGGTATAAAATTCTTAACTCAAAAATCCTGCTCTCGAGGCTTGCGACGAGCCGGCAAATCCCATACGCACTCACGTAGCATAGTAGGAAGGGAAGCCTGTGCGGCGCTTGCGACGAGATGGGTAATCCCCGGAGTGCCCATGTAGCACGAGGGGGGCGAAAAAAATAAGTACCTCCAAATGCTCATGTAGTGTAGAGGGGGGAAAGAAAATTGTGCTCTTTTAAATACGAACCTAAAGACCCTTAAACGCTCATGTAGCGGGCGGGGATTAAAAAAAATACAACCGTTGTGTCATTTAACACCTAGCTGAAGCGCTCAAGTAGCGACGAGGGGAAGGTTGCCTCTTAGTTTTTCTCCTAAACGAGGGAGATGCCGGGAGGTTGTCGAAATTCAAACCGAAGCAAACAAGGACTTGAACAAAAAAAATGAACTCGGATTTCAACTTGATTGGACTAAAATTACTTGAGTAAACTTAAACTTAAAAAAAAGATTGCTTGGACTTAAACTCAACAAAGACTACAAGAACTTGAATTTGCAAGATTTGGACTTGCATAATGAATTTGAACTGAACAATTTGGAGTGGAACTTGAACATTTGAACTCAAGCAAAGACTTGAGTTGGACTACAAGGACTTGAACAAAATTTGGACAACATGGGACTTATTTGGACAGTAAGGAACTTTAGACTTGGACTTGAATTCGAGCAAATACGAAGGACAATAATTGAATTTAAAATAAACTGTACAAATGTCCCGGTTTGAATTCATATAATGATGGCAAGAGACTTGCAAACATTGAACCAAGCTTTGAATCAATAAACGTATGTGGAGAATCGGAGATATGGAATGCTAAGTAAAAAAAAAAATCAAAGAGCTCAAATGAACATTTATGGGCATTTGTAATAATGACTCATGGCAACTAGAATTTCTCCATTTCACTCACAAGTAATGGCATGATGCGAGAAGATTTGTAATGTACTTGATACGATCATTTACAAATAACTACTTGGGATATATAATTTGATTGTGAACATACTACAAGCTGACTACAAAAGATGGAAATTGACATCTAACGTTCACATAAGTCATGAGAGAGAAATTCAATAATCTCTACAATCAACAACAATGAACACATCACAATGACGACCAGTTTCCCATGTACATATATATGCATACAACATGTCATTCGCAAGCAATTGTGAAATGTTTGAAATGCAGAACTCTTACAAGCCATTATAAGAGTCTAGTCATGTATAAAATCATTCACCAAGGAATGTCAAACATCAACAAAGGAGACATGCAACAAGTAAGATATCAATGGATCGTCACATTGATTGGAATACAAATATTGATTAAAGCTCTGTATTATTTGAGTGAACGTTAATAAGCATAAGAAGTTTGAACTTGGAACTTGAATGATAAGGAATAAGAACTGTGAGTTGAACTGTGAAATGTTGGACCGCACTTACAATATGCAAATGTAAAATGAGGTCAATATTCTCAAATGCATGAAACAATTCATCCACGAGTAGTGCAGTGGTATGCTCATGAACAAAATTGGAGATCTAGCAATGTCTCTGCGATGGGCATGATAAGCATAGAAGCCTATAATGATTATCCATACCACCTGTGACAATATTGTGGTAAGCATGCATTCATATCGACTACAAACATAAAGGAAGTGATCATTGTAGTATTTTGGGGCCAACACTGAGCAACGCACAATGTGCCTACAAGCAGTAACCGATGAACATCATAAAAGAGGCACAACGCAAAAGAACTACCATAAATATTGTTCATCTACAAGTGATAGTAGTAAATGTAAATGTAAAGCACCTACAAGTTGTTGTAGCAAAGAACATGATAGTATCCCTGTAATCAACTCCATCCAATGACAGTTAAATACATCAATCATTTGTAAATGGAGGCAGATGAGATGCAGTAAACAAAAATATGAATCTCTAAAAGTTATCGTAGCAGAAAGAAGATCTATCAAATGTCCAAAATACACTCGCACATGCACCATAGTTTGTACATAAATAGGTACACAAGGGGTAAATGCAATCCCAAACACGCATATGTGCCCTGGCGAGCGTGTTATTGGTACACACGTGACGTCTAGGGATGCTGCGCGGGCTAAATGATGAATCTAAGTTCGAACCTTATCCTTCTCGACATGGTTGGAACCATTAAATAAATATGCGGTCATGAGGTTGACTGGGATATTTATTTTATACATTCATATTAGGCCTTTAAGACCCTTTATAAGAAAGATTCAT